CAAATGAAGTTCTTAGCAATGTATATTACTAATCAAAAATTAAGTTTTGATATATTTACGGTAGGAAATTTACAAAATATCTTCATGGAACATGATCTCTACTTAATATCCTAATGATTTTTGGCATAAAAGAAAAATCTATAATTTTGACCCATACAATGTATTGTTGGCTATTGCTACAAATATACCCCAGCGACTTAACACTGCTTTTGTTTCTCCAGGGTCACATTTATTTAAGTTTATGAGCAACTGTATTTATTTTGATTTATATGTTAGATGTTGAGTTCTGTCTTTCATGCTGTGCTTTAACTAGGATCAATGATGGACTCGAATCATTAGAAGCAATTTTTAGTTCTGCAGAGTTTTCTCTGCATGGCTTTTATGCATTTTAGTTAGCTACTGTTGAGAACAATTAGCAGTTGCTGATTCGCTTCGATTTTAAAATCAGCACAGATGAATTATTTTCTTATGTGGCATGACCCATAATTTCTATAAGTCATCTCTTTCTGCTACTGTCTGTCTTGCAGGAAAGGAGAACACGCTGATTACACATAGCCCACCAACTTCGATGACGCCTCCTCCCTCAAAGAAACGCTGCCGGGCCCCACTGAGGGAGTGTGAGGACAAGATTACTGAGACGCCACTCCTCTACCCCACCTTCACAACACAACAGGAGCAAAGGGTAAACAAATCAGCATTTAACGGTGTCATGTTTGATATGTTTCTGAAGTTTATCATTGCTATTAACAGATAAAGTGGCACAGGTAAAGTGCAACCAATGGATGACATGCTAACTCAAACAGACTTTGCGGTCCACATAAGTTGTGTTCTTTTGTTTTTATATGGTTATAGTTGAAATGCATTGAGTCTCAAAGCCAGAGGCCTCATTCAGATTTGGATTCGGATGCAAAGAATGAGCTTCTGTCTTTACCCATGCTGTCAAAACCAGACATTAAACCAGCAGGTAAGGGAACTCTGAGTGCTTGAAAATGTTTTGAAATTTTAAAAGGCTATATCATACTTTTTTATATTGCTATATCATTCATAAAAACCAACATTCAAAACTTTGCGGTCGGAAGACTTTGTTTTTGAACATGTCTCACATGAAGAAGTGTCTTATGCTCACCAAAGCTGCATTTATTTGATAAAGAAAATAAATATATACTGTGTATGTGCGTGTATATATATATGGTATCGGTGCATCCCTACCTATATATATATATATAGGTAGGGATGCACCGATGCAGGTGCATTTAAAAAAATTAGAATATTGTGAAAAAGTAAATTTTTTGTAACTTCTTTCAAAAAGTGAAACTTTCATATATTCTAGATTCATTACATGTAAAGTAAAACATTTCTAATATGCTTTGATACAGCACTCTGTTTCAGTAATGACCTTCTGTGACTTACCCTCTTTGTGGAGGGTGTCAATGATCATCTTCTGGACCACTGCCAAGTCAGCAGACTTCCTCATTATTGTGGTTTCGAAGAGCAAGAGATACCCGGAATTTATACTGTAGGGATGGTCATTTAATGAAACTCAAATGTAAATATTCTAATATTTTGAGATTCTGGATTTTTGACTTTCATGAGCTGTAAACTCTAATCATCAAAATTAAAACAAAAAAAACTTTTGAAATGTTTTACTTTACATGTAATGAATCTAGAATATATGAAGGTTTCACTTTTTGAAATAAGTTACAAAAAAAAAGAACTTTTTCGCAATATTCAAATTTTTTTAGATGCACCTCTATATTCTGTAAACAAACTTATTTTGGGTGCGATTAATCGTTTGACAACGCTAATATATATCATACTGAGGTCTGCGTAAGTTATGGTGAAACCTCATAATTTAGTTTTTCATAGTCACAGGGAATGAAAAACCTGGTAATATAAGAAATTTAAAAAAAAGATTTAACTCTGTGAGCTGTGCTTGCTTTTTAGTTTTAGTGAATTGTCTTTTTCTGCTGGGGGCAGATTTTAGGTTCTGAAAGTTGCAGGGTTGTTTCATAGTACATTGGACTCTTGCTTAAACTATCAAGAAAGAGATTTGATGATAAAAACATAAATGACCCTTTTAACCATTTGTTTATTAATAGTTGATTTTGTTTCAAATCCTAAACCAATCTTTTTTTCTTCTTCTAGATGAGAACGTGGTATCTTCTGTACGCAAGAAGTGTGTTCGTTTTGGGGCCCCGCTCTCTCCAGAGTTCTTTGACAAATCTCTCCCTCCCAGTACCCCACTACAGAAAGGAGGCACCCCAAAGTATCCTCCGTCATCTACGGGCCCTAAACGCTCTCTGCTGAAGACCCCTCAACGGTCTGATCCTCTTCCCCAACCTGACTTCAGTAGTCCTCAAAGCAATGGAGCCTCTCCTGTCCTGGTTATTGACAGACACAATGCTGGACTGGTGTATAGTGATGAAGTATTTGAAGAGATCGAGAAGGTGTGACATTTACCAGCTTCTCCAAAATAACTTATTTGATTGTAGATGAAGCATTAATGTGACCCTGGACCTCAAAACCAGTCATAAGGGTCAATTTTTCAAAATCAATATTTATACATCATCTGAAAGTTGAATAAATACGTTTTCCATTGATATATGATTTGTTAGGATAGGACGATATTTGGCCGAGACTAGGGGTGTGCGATATAGGCCTGTATCGTCTGCGATAATATCGTAATTGTTGTTTTAACGATGTGCGCTTTGACATTATTGAGTATTTTGCAAAAACCATTCAAAACCCCTACAGAGTGCATGCATTACGTGAAGTCTAGACTAGTGCGCATTAGGGCTGTCACAAAAAAATTCGAATTTTGAATATTCGTCGAATTAAAAAAAAAAAAAAATCCACATTCGAATGCAAAAACGTTGCACTCAAATTTAAGGTCTGCGTCAGCCGTCAGGCAGCCTTATTAGTGGCGCACGAGATGCTATGACGATGTATGTGTCATTGATTGCATTTGAATGCTTTGTTAGCCTCGACAGCCCTTAGTGCGTTCTTTGCATGATTCAGTCTAATAAAATGCATTTACAATGATCACAAAATTCAAGATATGCTGACAGAAAATGTATATTTATATAATTTCATATAGTTAATCAATATCACACAAAGAGTGCCGTTTTTTTATGAATGATTACAAATGTAATATTGATTTTTTTTACAGCAGTTCAATAAACAAGAAGTTGTACATTTTAGACAGTATATTGGCTGTTTTTGCGCTATTTCGACAACTAAAATAATTCCAAACACAGCCACAGCGCTGTTTTGCGTCTCTGAGCAACATGACTGTGATTCGTTCTTGAATGAATCAACCGTTTAAATGATTCGGTTCAATCGAAATGACTCACTTATTAACAATGACTTGCTGCCACCTACTGGTGGTTTTAATTTCACATTTAAAGTTTCTTTTTATTATTTAAATAATATTCAACGTTTTGTTTAATATATCAAAACGTTATTTATGCATTTGTAATTGCAGGTTAAATGCATTCATGTCTTGCATTAAACAAAATACATGTGTGTAAATACATCTAAATGCCACTTCAGATGCAGCTTCTGTGTTGATTGCATTCATGTTCTGCACTAAACAGTAATGTCTTATTATTCTAATTCACTGATTAAATGTAAGAATTTGACTCAAAAGATGATGCACACTTTTAGAAAAATGGCTTTATAAAGGACTGCTTTTGTGCTCCAGGGTCACATATCAGTGTCTTGTGGTTTTAATCCATAATTACAGACTGCTCTATAAAGTTTTGAATTGGTGGTGAGTTTTTGTGGCTTTCTTCTCTCCATCTTCTCAGATCAGTTTTCCCAGTATGGAGGACGAGTCTCCCTCAAACAAACCTTCTGAGGACGACAAAGGTGAGTTGTGAAATGTTTAAGACATTAAGGTTTAGGAAAAACATACTCTTTGGTCTGTATTCTAATCGTGTATCTAAAACTGTAGATGCACTCTCTGCTGCGGACCCAGGGCAGCCCCAGGCTGAAGATGTTGAAGTTATGAACGCTGCTTTTCAAGAAGAAGAGGATGTACCATTAAATTCACAGACGGAGGAAAAACTAGCATGCCCCACTGGTGATCAGCCACTGGCTCTCTCCGGTGAGTTCAACTTTCTTCCACTGTTTGTTTGGGTTTCATTTAGGAACGCACATTAGTCTTCATCTTCATCTCAGCAGCTCAGTCCACAAAGTCTTTCTCTGAATATGCTGCGAGTTTGGGTTGCTTAACGTTCATCTGGGAAAACAGTGCTCGTTATCTCACTAGATTTGTAATGTAAATCATTTATAAACCTATGCAAACACAGGAGAATATTTCCAGGTCAACGTATTTCTAGATATGCAATTTGTTGAACATCGATATTTCAAAATAAAAGTTTAAACCCTCACTCCGAGTTTGCATGTGACCAAATATTAAAATTAAATGGATTTAAACGTCGTTGAATAAAATCAACGTCTTCAATAAAACCATGTGATTACTTGGTTTTGATACTTTATACTTTATTTGAACCAATTATTGTCTTATCGTTAGTTTAATATATATAAATGTAGTCAATATAAAGCCTGTTTTTCATTTAGGTCTGTTTTATTACTAAAAAATCAGATTACTCGATTGTCATAATAATCAGTAGATTACTTGATTACCAAGATAATCATTAGTTACAGCCCTAGATAAGTTAAATGTTTAGGGCTGCAACTAACGATTATTTTGATATATTCAGACAATTACACGCTGTTATCCCCTTACAGTTCCTACTCTCATAAAAAACTTGCAATGCATGTTGACCTTTAAACCTCGATTTAACTTTCAACAACAGATATTTCAGTACAATGAATGTTTTTGCGCTGATTATTAATTTTCTCTGTTTTCCGTCTGTCTGACGCGCGTGCACGTGCCCGCCGCTCATTCAGTAAAGATTAAAACTTAACACAGACTGTCAGGACGGACCTATATGTGCAGGGTTCCCACGCTTCTTGAAAGTACTTGAATTTCAGACATATGGATTCAAGGCCTGGAAAGTACTTGAAAACAAACATAGGTCCTTGAAAGTGCTTGAATTAAATTTGAAATAAATTTTATGGCGCTATTTAAAAATTGTCCTATATGTTCTGTCGAACAACCGGCACTAATGATTGGGGTGGAGATGGGGGAGCGCGAAAAAAAAACGTGTGTGTTGATGCGTAGCCTAGAGCCCTGAGCGAGCGGGACAGTTTTCTTAAGCCCGCTCCCCCTGAATTTCTGACCATTACCGCCCACTCCCGCAACGTGTGTGTCACGCTCCCGCAAACATTCTTATTGTATATATTTCATCAACGAAAATAGTTCCAAATATAGTAACAGCTGAGCCGCTGCAAAAGCAAACACAGCCGAGTTTCATTCATGAATGAAAGTGCGTTTTTGAACGAAT